TTTGAGATGGAGTCTCGCTCTGTCGCCCAAGCTGGAGTGCAATGGTGTGATCTTGGCTCACTGCAATCTTTGCCTCCTGGGTTCAAGTGATTCTCCTGCCTCAGTCTCCTGAGTAGCTGGGATTACAGGTGCACGCCACCATACCCGGCTAATTTTTGTATTTTTGTAGAGAAGGGGTTTCACTATGTTGGTGAGGCTAGTCTTGAACTCCTAACCTCAGGTGATCTGCCCACCTCGGCCTCCCAAAGTGCTGGGATTACAGGCATGAGCCTCTGTGCTCAGCCCAGAATTTCCTTCCTTTTTGAGGCTAATATTCCACTGTATGTACGTGCCACTGTTCGTTTATCCGTTCCTCCATGGATGAAAACTTGTAAGTACCTTTTAATTTTTGAGCCACCTGTAAATGGCAACTGTTTCTAATTGTTGAAGTTTTAAGGTTAACTGACAACATGTAACACCTCTGATGCCCTGCATTCTCTGGCCTTCCTTTCTCAGGCTGCACTTACCAGTGGGCTACCATGGCCGTGCCTCCTCCGTCGTGGTGTCTGGCACTCCAATCCGAAGGCCCATGGGACAGATGCAACCTGATGACTGTAAGTGACCCAGTGTCCAGGCCCTGCTGGGGTCCCCCTCTGTTCCCACGCGGTGAGTTCTGTGGCCCACTCACAGCAGCCTCTTTTCTGTTGTCATTCCAGCGAAGCCTCCTGTATATGGTGCCTGCAAGCTCCTGGACATGGAGCTGGAAATGGTAAGTGAGCTTGGCATTTTATTGCCGCGGGATCCACAGACATCTGGCGGGAGAGCCCCCTGGGGTGGCTGCCTGCGCCATGAGCCACCCAGTCCTCTCCTCAGCCACATCGGCAACCGCTCTGTGTCCCCACCTGGCCATCACAAGGACGGTCAGTCCTCATGACTTGCAGATTCTGTATTTGAGAATTCACCTACTTGCTAACATTTATTTGTAGGTCCAAGATTAATTTCACAGAGTTTTTGTGGGCACGCGTGGACATGCGCAGAGCAGTGAAAAATTTCAGCTGCCTGATGGGCACCTTACACCCAGCTGAGGCTGGACAAGTTGTCAGGCAGCCTTCTCGTCAGCCCACGCTGTAAACACGTGCCCTCTGTGGTCTATTCGGTGCCATGTTTTTGGCATATCTGTGCTTTTCTGGCAGTGTTGCTGTTTGTTTATAATGGCTCCAAGTGTGGTGCTAAGTGCCACCCAGTGTCCCTGCCATAGGAAGACTCTGATGCGCCTTATGGAGAAAATGCGCGTGTTAATGAGCTTCATTCAGGTGCGTAACAGTGCCGCTGCCTGTGAGCTCAGTGTTCATGAATTGACTGTATCAGCCCCACTGCTGGGCCCACACAACCTCAGAACTGTGGTCACTTTAGGGCTGCACACTTTTTTAAATTAAACTTTTTATTTATTTATTTATTTTTATATATTTATTTTTTGAGACAGAGTCTCGCTTTGTCACCAGGCTGGAGTTTAGTGACACGATCTTGGCTCACTGCAACCTCCGCCTCACGGGTTCAAGCAATTCTTCTGCTTCAGCCTCCCAAGTAGCTGGGACTACAGGCATGCGCCACCACACCCAGCTGATTTTCATATTTTTGGTAGAGATGCAGTGTCACCATGTTGGCCAGGATGGTCTCGATCACTTGACCTTGTGATCCGCCTGCCTTGGCCTCCCAAAGTGCTGGGATAACAGGCGTGAGCCACCGCACCCAGCCAAACGTTTTATTTTTAGGTCATCGTAGACTCACATGCAGTTGTGAGAAATGATACAGAGATCCCAATACCCTTCACAGAGCCTCCCCCAGTGGCAACGGCCTTGGTAACCATGGTGCTCTATCACAGCCTGGATGTCGAGATGGACAGTCGTTCCCACTACCCATGGATCCCTCATGCTCCAGGGCTATTTTTCAGAGGGGACACTGAAATCTGGGCAGCCCCAAGCTGAGGGGACGAGGAAAGTGATGGGCAGGAGGAGCTGACCTGGAGGAGGGAGCCTGGCAGTGTCTTCAGGATCTGCTGGATAGTTGGATGCTCAAGGGTGGAGTCAGGCTCCTTGTGGGAAATGCGGACAGGCAGATGGAGGGGCTTTCCCATAGTCAGCACCTGCAGCGTTAGGTGTCGCCTCAGGGAGCTCTGAGTGCCACGTCACTGACAGCGTAGAGGAAGCTGCCGTGGGGCCGCCGAGGCAGGCTGAGGCAGTGGGAAGGCCCAGCTGGTGGAGGCAGGCTAGAAGGCCCTTCCACTTCTCTGGAGCTCCCTGCCTCTCCTGGGCTTCCCTGTGATTTCTCTGGATTCAGTCCAGAGGAGGGAAATGAGTGAACACTGCCGAATTGCCCGCGGGTAGCAGGGCACTCCCTCTGCCTCCTCCCGCCTTAGCCAGGGTGCCACGTGAGACTTCAGGAGGACTCCCAGCTGAGAGTCACCAGCGCAGGGCATCTGAGCCCTGGTTTGGGGCCACGCTCTTCTCTCTGGGAGAACTAAGGACTCTGCAGGCAGACGTGTCACCTCTGCTGGTCCCTGCTGAGAGGGGGAGAGAGAGTCAGCATGTGGAGAAATGGTGGGGACGGAGAGTAGGTCACCCAGACTGAAGGTCATGGGATTCTCCATAAGATAGCGCCTTTGGGTTCTTTTCTTTTTTTTTTAATCTTGATGGAAATTTTGCAATGTTTAAATACTGACACAGAATAAATAAAATGGTGACTAAGTTTTGCAAATGTCATGGCTGGGTCTATGTGTTTTTGAAGGAGATGTTCCCAGTTTCTTCTTTCGAATGGTGTCTGGCTAGTCTGTTCGTTCATGGGCATCGTGTTGGTGCCGTTTTTCCTGAGAGGCCGTGGGATGATGGATCGGAGTTAGAGGCCGTGGGCTGTGTTCTGTCTGGCACTATTTGCTGCATTAAGGAGGCAGTCTTTTGGTTTTTCATTTTGAAAATTTGTATTTTTTATTATTTTGTATTTTTTGAGACAGGGTCTCACTCTGTCACCTAGGCTGGAATGCAGCCGTGACCTCCCTGGCAAGCAATCCTCCCACGTAAGCGTCCCAAGTAGCTGGGACTGCAGACAGGTGCCTGGCTAATTATGTTTATTTTTTGTAGAGGTGGGGTCTCACTGTGTTGCTCAGGCTGGTCTCGAATTCCTAGGCTCAAGTAATCCTCCCACATCAGCCTCCCAAAGTGCTGACGTTACAGACTCGAGCCACAGTGCCTGGCCTGGTTTTTCATGACACGAATACAAACCTTCATCGTTTCAGTTTTACAAGCCCCACGTAGCTGTCAGGTCTTAAAAGGCAAAGCCTGTAATGGGCGAAGAGGAAAGAGCAGAGTGGCCTGGGACACACTGAAGGAAGGAGGGGAGGCTGCTGTGGAGCTCAGGGACCTGGAGGGAGGGCCGGGGGTGGGAGCAGGGCACACCACGGCAAGCTGCTTTCCTGAGGTGGCCACCTGACCTCTGACTTAGAAACACAGTGGGTTCCTGCCAGGCCCCTGTGGCTGTCCTGGTCCATGGCTGGAGTGTGGAAAACCTGACCTTTGCTCTCTAGGTGACAGGTGACCTGGACAGCTGATCAGCTCCAGATTCTAATGAACTCTCCCCCATGTCAGGCTTTTTTTGTAGGCCCTGGAAACAGATTGGGAGAGCCGATCCCCATTTCCAAGGCCCATGAGCACATTTTTGGAATGGTCCTGATGAACGACTGGAGTGGTAATTACTGACCCTCTGCTCCTATGGAGTTGAGCGGGAGGAGGCTAGGGACTTGGGACAATTTCATAGCAGCTGAAGATGTGGCGCTGGTCCAACGTGGCAGGTGATGCGGTGGCTGAGAACGTGGGTTTGGGTATCAGGCAGACTTCCAGCTCTAAGAACTCCCTCCGAGCTCCAATCTCCTCATGAGTGGAGAGGGACATGGCCGACACCGTAACTAATATTTACTGAGCACTTACGTGTCAGGCTCTGTGCTTAACACCCTACATCTATCCTCCCACTGGTCCTACACGGTATGTGCCGTATTATCATTCCCATTTTACAGATGAGAAACTGAGGCACAGAGAGATTTCAATTAGTTGTTGAAGTAAGATTTGAAGCAAAACGGTCCAACGTCTCAGCCTGAGCTCTCAGCCCTTTGCCGCACGTGGGGGGAAGATGGCACCGGAAGCTCCAGGAATTGTCTCTCTCATAGTTTGAGGATGAGCTTTCCTGCCACTTCCTGGGACTTTTGGTGCCATCTTCCTCCCATGTGTTGCAAAGGATCGCCATTTGGCCATCCTTCTCTTTGCTGTAACCTGGCACAGTGCCCTCAAAGGACCTCTGTCCTTGGTGTTGAATGGTCTTGCCCCTTGGTCCTGGGGCAACCTGGCTGGGCTGAGCTTTGTGGAGAGGGCTGTGCTGGGTGCTTTGCTCCTTGGTCAAGGGCGGGGGGGGTCTTGGGAGAGGCCCTGATCAGCCTTTGTAAGTCCCGCGTCTGCCCTTCTTCTGTAGCGCGAGACATTCAGAAGTGGGAGTATGTCCCTCTTGGGCCATTCCTTGGGAAGAGTTTTGGGACCACCATCTCTCCATGGGTGGTGCCCATGGATGCTCTCATGCCCTTTGCTGTGCCTAACCCAGAGCAGGTAAGCACACTCTCTGAGGAAGCCCCCAAATCCAGCCCTGCTGCCTCGGAGGCTGTGTGCCCACTGAGTGGACATGCCAGGCATGCAGACCTGCATCGGGAGGGAAGCTCTGTGCCCACGGCATGCCCACAGCAGAGTGCCGGGCAGTTTCTGGCCACAGTTACCTCCAGGCAGCCCTGGCATCATTCTCCTTTATGGTTTCTCCGACCCTGGCACGGTTCTTGGAGGAAACACAGAATTTTGTAACCTTGAGAATCTTCCAACACCAGGGGAACTGACCAACGGGTGGAGAAAGAGTCCTTGCAGGAACCAGCATGGCACAACCTCCCAGGGTGCCATCAAATCATGTTCTGTGCAAATGCAGGAACCAGCATGGCACAACCTTCCAGGGTGCCATCAAATCGTGTTCTGTGCAAATGGCGCCGCATGGAGCCCAACTCTTAGAATACAGTTTGGAGCCCCGCAACGGGGGCGTCCCGGCAGCCTCTGGTTCCCAGCACCCCTTGACCCCATCTCAGTCCTCCCTTCTCAGCCTGTGGCAGTCTGCCCCACTCCATCTCTGGCAACGCCTGGCCAGAGTCACCTGGGACCCGATAGCAGTGCTGTGACCTTGTGTTCCCTTCAGCGTGGACTTCCTGTGGCCCCTCACTCTTGTTGACATTCCCTCACCCCTTGGCTTCTGGCATGTGACCTGTCCTTGTCCTCCAGTGTCTCTGGGTCCCCATGATGCCCCTCTCCAATTCTGACCTCTCTGTGGGGATCCAGGCCGAGCTCCCAGCCATGTGCACGTGCTCCCTTGAGCAGCTCCGCACGCACGTGCTGGGGGCCTCTCCCACCACCTGGGACAGCTCCCGCACCCACGCTCCTTGGCCTCTGGGGTCATCTCCTCTTTGCTGTGCCACAAACAACCTGAGGTCTTTCCCTGCAAGCCAGTTCCAGCGGCGTCCCGTGGGGCTTTCACGCTCGGCCCTTGCTCTCTCCTCGCTTCAGGACCCCTGCCCACCGCCGGCCATTTTCAGTCCCCAGGACTTGATTTCTCTGTAGCCAGCAGTGGGCTTGTCTAGTCTCCCTAGGGCTGCATGGCCACAGCCTCTCTCTGCTTGTCCTCCAGGCCTCTGCCCTCTTCGGGGTCTGTGGTCACCGGGCTTTGCCCTGGCCGGTGATGTCTGGGCTGCCCCTTCCTCCGTGCCCGTCTTCCCGAACACATTTATGTCCAACCATTGCTACTGTTACCCCTTCTGAACTATTATTTACTTAACGTTTTTCTTCAGAGTGGCTCCCAGTTTAACACTTAATAATATATTAAGAAGGGAGCTTTCTATTCCTACTGGCCTCACTAGCTGTACCATTTCATAACTATTAAAATCACCAAAAACGATCTCACATCCCACTGTGACTCATGTACTATGCTTTGGAAAACACTGCTTTTGGCCGACGGGCAGACGCTCTGGCCCGGCCATCCAAGCTGCCCCCTGAGCTGGCTCCAGCAACAGCCGGGTCTGCCCGCCTCTGCTGTGACCCCTCTTCCTTCCAGGGCCCTGGGATGCCCTTTCAGGCCCCTGCCTTTCCTCACAGGCCACGCTTAGTTCCCCATCTCGGCCCATCTGCCGCCCACCTTCCCTTAATCTCCCTTCGAGTGGCTTTTAGGGACATCTCTGGTTAGGCTCCTGTGACCTTTGACCTGGTGATACCCCTTCCATGGCGGATTTTCCTGGAGCCCCACAGTATGATCCCCCCCCACACTGCCATCGAGGGATGCAGTGCTGGGTCCCTGGAGAGGGAACGCTCCTGCTGTCTCAGACCCTCTACCTGGGGGAGCAGGTGCTGCTGGGGACTCGGCTGGTCTGGGGCACAGCCCAGGTGACCTCAGCCCACCTGCCAGTGACCTCTGTGCTGTGCTTTGCCCTCCCAGGACCCCAGGCCCCTGCCGTATCTCTGCCATGACCAGCCCTACACATTTGACATCAACCTCTCCGTTGCCCTGAAAGGTATGTCATGGGAGGATTGATGTGACCAGGAGCTCTGAGGGCATGTGTGCCCGTGTGCCTTGACCCGAAGGCTCCTGAGCTTTGCCACGGGTGGGGGCACATGCTACAGCCCTGGAGACTGCATGGCTCTTCTAAAGGAAAGAGGAAGGGAGGGGATGCCCTTGTGCTCACTGGGAGCCTCACTGGGCCCTCAGGGTGTTGGCCGCTCACTCAGGCTCAATAATAGGGCTGAGATCGGGAGTGCAGGACCTCCGTCTTCCACGTCAACCCCCTCTCCAGCCTCCCCAGGGGCTGCCTGGCCCCTGCTCACATACCCCCGCTGACCCTCACTCCTGTGAGGGTCTATTTCATTGACTGCCTGTTTGAAAGCCTGTCCTTGTGGGTCTGCTCGCAGGAGGCTTGGCTGAGCCCCTGGGGCCACACAGAGCTCGAGCACAAGGCCCCCGATCCCCTCCCTGGGCCAGCCCTGAGAGAGACAGGGCCCACCCCTCCCTGTGGCTGCTCAGCCCGGCTCCTCGAACAGCCCCGCAGGGCATTGGTGATAAAGAGACTGGCTCTGCAGGCCGTGACTGCTGCTCAGCTGTGGGACTTTGGGCAAGTTGCCCAGCCTGTCCGTGTCCTCATTTGTCATCTGTGAAATGGGATCATAATGGCCTTGATGTCACGGTGCGTTGTGAGGGCCAAACGTCAATTCCTGTAAAGGTGTAGGGCAGGGTCTGCACCTAGGAAGAGTCAGGTGTCACTTTCCAGTCCCACGGGGGCCCTCAGGTAGGGAGAGTTTGCCTTGTGGCCACACACAGACCTCCTAGCCACCCTCTGGCCACGCCTCCTTTCATCTCCATCCCTTTCTTCCGTCTGCACATCCCAGGCTCTGCCGTGTCTGTCTCATTGCCAGTTCCAGGGTCTCAGCCCTTCATGAGGCAGCTCCTGGCAGGAGGCTCAGTACCCTACCAGACTACGGAGCTGTCGCCGTGGGAGCAGGACGCTCCACAGAGGGCTACCAGCCTACTGGCTGCCCAGGCCCTCTGAGAAGCTGTGCTGGGCCTCTCTTTCACTTTCCAGGTTGGGAAACTGAGGCTCAGAGAGGAAAAGGATTCACCCGGTCCACCTACCTGGCTGATGGCAGGGCTGGGACTCATCCCAGTGTCACGAGTTCTGGGCTGGCCTCCTGCCACCCGTAGTGTGTGATTGGAGTGTACTTTCTGTCTGGTTTCATTCTAGATATTTCTTTCTGGCTGCCTAGAGCTGAACCCACCCGGGGAGGGCACTGGTGGAGAAGGGACAAGATTAACCAGAAAGCGCGGTGTCCGGAGATGTAGTCCCACATGTGTAGTTCTGATGTCCTGAGTTGGGATCTGGGCGAAAGGGTCTGGGGAGGAGCAGCCTTGGGGGACCCAGACCTTGCATGGCTGAAGAGCACACCTGTTCTGTGCCACCTCAGAGGGGAAGTTAGGACCAAGGGAGGAAGCCAGGTTTTGAGGAAGTGGAGGAGCTTTCTACTTCTTAGTGCTGTTCAGAAGTGGAACAGCACAGCCCGGTACCTTGTGTGCGTGTAGTAGGTGTTTAGTAAATATCATTTAGTACATTGTGAAGTGGCACGCTGCCCATCTCTGGAGGAGCTTGGCGGGGGACAGATGACCCAGCTATCCAGAGGGCTCCTGAGGGGACAGAGGTTATCCTCCATCAAAGATCACAAGTAGCCTTCAAATGGCACGCTATCTCCAGTGGATCTGTGGGTGCCAGGACCATTGTGTTAAGAAGGATTCTGAGGCTACATCTGGACCCAGAGCAAATGTGCGCTGTGATCAGTTAATGGTGCCTGCTGTGGGCGTGGGAGGAGGAGGTGATGCCTCGTGTGCATGTATTGGCCAACCCTGGACATCCCGGCTCTGATGTCCTAGGAGCTGATTGTTTCACAGACTTTAAGTGAAATCCCGTTGGACAATGGGAAGCTTCAGCCACAGAACAATTCTTTTTTTATTTTCCTCCCTGATGAATGGAATTAAGTCTTCATTGATAGTGCTTCTCTTTCCAACAGGAGAAGGAATGAGCCAGGCGGCTACCATATGCAAGTCCAATTTTAAGGTGAGTTTTGACACTGATCAGACTGCTTCTTAGAATTGAGGGGAAGAGAGACTTTTCTTCCTGGCAGGAACAGGAGGAGAGCATTCCTTTTGGGATGTGATGATGGTTCAGCCTATGGGCCTGGAGCTTTCACGGCCTGTCTCCTTCAGGAGTGGTCACGAGGTCACAGAGTTCTCTCAAGATAGAGGCTGCATAAATATGGCCAGTGATATTCTTGGGGGACAATAGGTGTTCCTGTATAGGTCTAGTCCCTGGTTTATCCTGTCCTGCCAGGGGCTGTATTGAGGAGAGTGACTTATTTTTTAAGTGAACTTTTAACTGAAGCATAGTACACATTGATAAAAATGCACACATTACTGTAATCCCAGCACTTTGGGAGGCCGAGGTGGGAGGATCACTTAAGCCTAGGAGTTTGAGACCAGCCTAGGCACCATAAAGAGACCTTGTCTCTGCAAAAAAATTAAAAAATCAGCCGGGCATGGTAGCATGCACCTGTGGTCCCAGCTACTTGGGAGGCTGAGGCTGGAGGATTGCTTGAGCCCGGGAGGTTGAGGCTGCAGTGAGCTGTGATCACGCCACTGAACTCCAGCATGCATGACCGAGCCAGACCCTATTTCAAAAAACAAACATTAAAAAAGTGCGTATTACACACGTACAGCTTGAGGGATTTTCCTAAAATGAACATGCCTGGGCAGCCAGCACCCAGCTCAGCAATGGGAAATTTTCAGCACCTCAGCGGCCCCCTGGGCCCCTCCAGGTCACCTCCTCACTTCCTCCAGCAAAGGTCACTCCTCTCCTGACCTCTGTTTCCCTACATTAATTTTTTTTCTAATTTTCAGGTTTGTAGAAATGGAATCCTACAGTAGCATGTATTCTTTTCTGGCTGGCTCGTTTTAGTGTTATATTTGTGAGATTCGACCCTGTTGCTCTTTGCAGTAATAGCTCATTTTTCTCATTGCCTTATAGTGTTGCACTGGATAAATATTCCACAACTTTTTTTTTTTTTTTTTTTGAGACGGAGTTTCGCTGTTGTTGCCCAGACTGGAGTGCAGTGGTGCGATCTCGGCTCACTGCAACCTCCGCCTCCTGGGTTCAAGCAATTCTCCTGCCTCAGCCTCCCGAGTAGCTGGGACTACAGGCACGCACCATCATGCCCAGCTAATTTTTGTATTTTTAGTAAAGACGGGGTATCACCTTGTTGACCAGGATGGTCTCGATCTCTTGACCTCGTGATCCACCTGCCTCGGCCTCCCAAAGTGCTGGGATTATAGGCATGAGCCATCGTGCCCATTCACAACTGACTTATTTTTTAAGTCACGTCAATGCCACAGCTGATGGACATTTGGCTGTCTCCATTTTTTTGGCTGTCATAGAGTTGCCGTGAACATTTTAGTACACACCTTTTGGTGCACATATATGCACATTTCTATTGAGTCCAGCAGTAGACCAGCTGGTCATACGGTACACGTGGATTCCACCTAGTAGCACTTCCAAACAGTTTTCGGAAGTGGTTATACCAGTATATACTCCCCCTAGCAGCGTGTAAGCATTTTGCCTGCTCCGCATCCTCGTCAGCTCTGGGGGTATTTGCCTTTTCCTTCAAACCATGCCGGGGATAGTGACTTTGGTTTGCATTTCCCTCATGACTAATGAGCTGGGCATGTTGGTCATCTGTTTATTATTCATTTGTTTCCTGACCTTTTGAATATCCTCCGAAGCACTGTATTCCCAGTTCCCCTAGTTTCCCTTCTAATGTAATATTAATCTGGGTTCCTCAGGCTCGTAAGAAGAAATAAAGGGGCCTCCTTACGGGGACTTGTGGGCAAGAATCCATCTCTCGGGTTTCCGATGCCGGGATGTGGCTGTAGGAATGTGGATGTGAGAAGCTGTGGCCTGGGGCAGGTGTGGGCATGCTTTGCCTCTGAGCGTCTCTGTGGGCACGTGGTGCCTTGGTCCCCTCTGTCCACAGCCTGACCTCCCATAGTTCTCCCTTGCTCCTCGGCCTGCCCTGATACGATGTTTGAATCATTCAACTCCGTTGCCCAATGTTCATTCCAAGGCCTGGAATGGGAGAATGGGAGTGAGGTCTTTGCTCATGAGAAGCCTCTGCTGTGGTGAAGACTTAGGCCTTCCCCACGCAGGACTGGAGGACGTTCCCAGGGCAGAGTGGAGTGTTGTACACACGGGCATGTTGTGGGCTGAGGGACTGAGCAGCGAGGTCAGCCCTGAGGGGATGCTTCCTGGAGGAGGTGGTCGGGCAGGCTTGAGGTAGCCGAAGAGCTGAGGTCGGAGCTGGTGAGGGAGATGGCAGAGCTTGGGGGAGGCCTCTGGGCAGCTCTCCAGGAGGACAGCATGTTCTTGCTCTCAGGGACTGAAGAGACCTGGCTGGGGGAGCTGGGGACCAGGGAGAGGCTAAGGAAGGCTGTCGTGAGCAGGGCGGGCTGTGTCTAGCAGCCTCCTGGATGCGAGGCTGAGTTGCCTCCAGGGTGCCGGGCTGAGTTGCCTCCTGGGTGCGAAGCTGAGCTGCCTCCTGGGTGCGAGGCTGAGCTACCTCCGGAGTGCCGGGCTGAGCTGCCTCCGGGGTGCTGGGCTGAGCTGCCTCCGGGATCTGAGGCCAAGCCTGCAGCTGTTCATTCCACCTGTGTCCATTGCCCGCAGTACATGTACTGGACAATGCTGCAGCAGCTCACTCACCACTCTGTCAATGGCTGCAACCTGCGACCGGGGGACCTCCTGGCTTCTGGGACCATCAGCGGGCCGGTGAGTACCCAGTTGCACTGAGGGCTGCCCACACAGAGCATGCCTACTCCCCACACAGCCCCGAGGGCCCTCAGCTCACCCTCAAGAAGGGATTTCAGGCCCGAGGTGGCCATGGCTCACAACTCTGTCTTCCTCATAACCTTCCTCTCTGGGTGCAGGAGGGGCTTCTCATCCAAATTCAAACCTAAAGAGACAGTGTGAGAGCGGAAGCCTGGGTCTGTGCCTCCATAGGGGAGCATTGCAGTGACACATGGGGAGGAGTCAGGAGATGGCCTTTGTGTCTTGGTTGTCACCATCTCACACTGTACCCTCCCAGGGTGAGGTGGCCGTGCGGCTGTGCCCCTTCCCACCCACCCGTCCCCCTGTAAGTCTGCAGGAGTCGCAGAACCTTCAGAGATGTGTCTGTCACTCCCCAGGGGGCCTGGCCGAGCCCTGTTGTTCCCAAAGCTGAGGCTTCCTGGCAGGCGGGTATTAAGGATCATGGGGTCTGGGCAAACTGCAGCCTCCAGAGCGGGGGTGGGGTGGGCACTGCAGGAGGCACTGGGCACTCTGATCGGAGATTCCCTGATTCCTAAACAAGCGATGTCACTAGTGAAGGAAGAACGGGCTGTCCCCGCAGGAAGAACAGGCAGAGTTCCAAGTCTCGAGGGTACCTCTGCAGCAACCCACCAAGGCCGAGGCAGGGTCTCTGAGGGGCATGCGGTCCCTCTGCTGCTGCTTGGGACTCTCAGGTCTTGCTGAGCAGGGTCCATGCCAGAGCCAAGGCATACATTCATGCCACCCCTTCTTCCCCTTCCTGTGATGAAGGAACCAGAAAGCTTCGGCTCCATGTTGGAACTGTCGTGGAGGGGAACGAAGCCCATAGAGCTGGGGAACGGACAGACCAGGAAGTTTCTGCTGGACGGAGATGAAGTCATCATAACAGGTGAGGGCTGCCAAACCCGCGGCTCAGCTTCCTCCGTGCCCGCCATGCACTGTTCTAGCCGCGGGGCGCTCCCGCCTGGCCACAAAGCCATCTGTCCTAACGCATCCTCACTCTGCCTCCCAGAGTCTCTGTCTGCTTGTTCTGTCCTCCACAGCTGTGGCGACCCGGGACGTCAACCGTGAGTCTCCCCAGGCCAGAAAGACTGCAGACATTCTGCTTGGTCTCCCTGCTCTCTGAGCAAAGTTATAAAATACTGGCAGGTTCCTCAGGGTGTAGACTTTGCAGCAAACCCCCTGTGCAGAAACTCAGTGGCCTAAGACTAGGATCAAGGAAGGTTCAGCTGAGTTAGTGACTGAGGCTTCTCAGCAGCCCATTCGAAGGAGGCGAGGGTGCCTCTTAAGTCTTCTGGGGATGGGGGGCGGGGGGGCATTCTGCCTACCACATTTTCCTAATAGAGGGGAAGGGCACCATAATGGTTGGGAAAGAATCAAGTTGAACTCCCAGGTAACCCACCAGCTGTGTGACCTTCATTAAATTATTTAACCTTTCTGAGACTCAGCTTTCTTCATCTTTAATTTTTTTTTTCAAGACGGAGTCTTGCTCTGTCACACAGTCTGGAGTGCAGTAGCACAATCTTGGCTCATTGCAACCTCTGCCTCCCAGGTTCAAGCAATTCTCCTGCCTCAGCCTCCCAAGTGGCTGCGATTACAGACCTGCTAATTGTGTATATGTCAGCTTCTGTGCTTAACTAAGCTTGTAATAATTTCCTAGTATATCCGGCTAATTTTTGTGTTTTTAGTAGAGATTGGGTTTCACCGTGTTGGCCAGGCTGGTCTCGAACTCCTGACCTTGTGATCTGTCTGCCTCGGCCTCCCAAAGTGCTGGGACTATAGGTGTGAGCCACCACACCTGGCCTTCCTTATCTTTAAAATGGAGCGAATACAATACTTAACCTCACAGCATTGTTGTAAAGATGAAATGAACTCGTTTGTTCCCTTAGTAGACATTTATTATTATTTTTTTTTTGAGACGGAGTTTTGCTGTTGTTGCCCAGGCTGGAGTGCAATGGCGCGATCTCGGCTCACCGCAACCTCCGCCTCCTGGGTTCAAGCAATTCTCCGGCCTCA